TCTAGTTCAGTTCTAGTTCAGTTCTAGTTCAGTTCTAGTTCAGTTCTAGTTCAGTTCTAGTTCAGTTCTAGTTCAGTTCTAGTTCAGTTCTAGTTCAGTTCTAGTTCAGTTCTAGTTCAGTTCTAGTTCAGTTCTAGTTCAGTTCTAGTTCAGTTCTAGTTCAGTTCTAGTTCAGTTCTAGTTCAGTAGTTCAGTTCTAGTTCAGTTCTAGTTCAGTTCTAGTTCAGTTCTAGTTCAGTTCTAGTTCAGTTCTAGTTCAGTTCTAGTTCAGTTCTAGTTCAGTTCTAGTTCAGTTCTAGTTCAGTTCTAGTTCAGTTCTAGTTCAGTTCTAGTTCTAGTTCAGTTCTAGTTCAGTTCTAGTTCAGTTTTAGTTCTAGTTCAGTTCTAGTTCAGTTCTAGTTCAGTTCTAGTTCAGTTCTAGTTCAGTTCTAGTTCAGTTTAGTTCAGTTCTAGTTCAGTTCTAGTTCAGTTCTTGTTCAGTTCTAGTTCAGTTCTAGTTCAGTTCTAGTTCAGTTCTAGTTCAGTTCTAGTTCAGTTCTAGTTCAGTTCTAGTTCAGTTCTAGTTCAGTTCTAGTTCAGTTCTAGTTCAGTTCTAGTTCAGTTCTAGTTCAGTTCTAGTTCAGTTCTAGTTCAGTTCTAGTTCAGTTCTAGTTCAGTTCTAGTTCAGTTCTAGTTCAGTTCTAGTTCAGTTCTAGTTCAGTTCTAGTTCAGTTCTAGTTCAGTTCTAGTTCAGTTCTAGTTCAGTTCTAGTTCAGTTCTAGTTCAGTTCTAGTTCAGTTCTAGTTCAGTTCTAGTTCAGTTCTAGTTCAGTTCTAGTTCAGTTCTAGTTCAGTTCTAGTTCAGTTCTAGTTCAGTCTAGTTCAGTTCTAGTTCAGTTCTAGTTCAGTTCTAGTTCAGTTCTAGTCAGTTCTAGTTCAGTTCTAGTTCAGTTCTAGCTCAGTTCTAGTTCAGTTCTAGTTCAGTTCTAGTTCAGTTCTAGTTCAGTTCTAGTTCAGTTCTAGTTCAGTTCTAGTTCAGTTCTAGTTCAGTTCTAGTTCAGTTCTAGTTCAGTTTCTAGTTCATTTCTAGTGCACATCTTGTGCATTTCAACTTCGGTTCTAGTTTAGTACTAGTTCTATTTGCTTATAATCTAGGTCCTGTCGAATTATGTTCTAAATCTGCCACACTTATTATGCAGTTGGTTCTCATTAGTTAGTTTTTCTTTTACTTTTGCCAAACAATTTTTATCGAAATTTTAAATTTAAATTAAAAAACTTCTTAAGAGATTTTTTTTTTTAAATAAATGTTATTTCTATTCCCAAAAATCGTTTTTACTTAAATCTTTTCAAATTCTTTGCATTTCTTATTATTGTTAGTTTTTTACATTGCAAAAACTCCAAAGAATTTTTTGGTAACAATTATTTTCTATTACAATTTTCCATGAATGTGACTACTAAATACCACTTGACATATAAAAGTTCTTTCTAAATTGTACTTTTTTCTCTCGTTTTACATTCATTTAACTACATTTTCCATTACCATTCGTAGCAACTCCTTAAGGTATGCTACGTCATTACTATCAATTACAAAACATTTTGTTTTGAGACTTTGTGTTTGTATGTGTGTTTTGGAGAAGGATTTTTTTCATTCCAACACATGTGCATATATGTTTTACACGCAAGTGGGAGTTGTTGTACAATTCATGTGCCAGAGTGTAAACATTGTTGCCTTCAACTTTTTTGTTGAGCAAATACAACTCATTTGCAAACACAATTTGAGAAACTTCAAAAATGGAGAAACGTCTGTGTGTATGTTTGCCTGGTTTTAATGTAGTTTTGGGGGAAGAAAAAGAATTTTGGCAATTTTTTTGGCAAACATACAAACAACTTCAGTAAATTTCTGTTATCACAGTTTATTGAAAGCAGAAGGAAAGAGATAGAGAGTGAAAAAACAATGTATAGAAAGAAACAGTAGTTTATATTAAATGTGATAAGAACGTGTGCTCAAGGGTTGTTCCATTTACAAACATCCTTTTTTGCAGATTTTAATGTAGATTTAAAAAATGTTTTTGAAACAAGTTTAAAACATTTACAATTTAAATACAAACAAACGTATACATATGAAGTACCAATTATAGATTTACATTTATGGCATATATTGCGCAAATATAGTCAAAATATTCGTTTTGTTTTATCAGAAATATCTGCAGATACATAATTGTTTTCCTAAAGTTTGACTAATACTTGTACTGAATAACAATTTGCAACTATTACTTTTTGTTTAGATTGTACTTAAAATATTTGCAATATATAAATTCCTAACTTCATATGTTAGACAATAAAACGAAGCAATAAATTCTTTTACCACAAGTAAAACAAAACTAAATATTTAAATTATTTTGACAAAAATAATTGTTTGAGAACATAAAGAGCTTACGGGCAAAAGGTTAGTAAATGGAAAGATAAATTCCTAGTTCAGTAATAGTTCTGTCCTAGTTCAGTTCTAGTTCATTTCTAGTTCAGTTATCTAGTTCAGTTCCTAGTTCCGTTCTAGTTCAGGTTCTAGTTCAGTTCTAGTTCAGTTCTAGTTCAGTTCTAGTTCAGTTCTAGTTTCTAGTTCAGTTCTAGTTCAGGTTCAGTTCAGTTCTAGTTCAGTTCTAGTTCAGTTCTAGTTCAGTTCTAGTTTCAGTTCTAGTTCAGTTCTATTCAGTTCTAGTTCAGTTCTAGTCAGTTCTAGTTCGTTCTAGTTCAGTTCTAGTTCAGTTCGAGTTCAGTTCTAGTTCAGTTCTAGTTCAGTTCTAGTTCAGTTCTAGTTCAGTTCTAGTTCAGTTCTAGTTCAGTTCTAGTTCAGTTCTAGTTCAGTTCTAGTTCAGTCTAGTTCAGTTCTAGTTCAGTTCTAGTTCAGTTCTAGTTCAGTTCTAGTTCTAGTTCAGTTCTAGTCAGTTCTAGTTCAGTTCTAGTTCAGTTCTAGTTCAGTTCTAGTTCAGTTCTAGTTCAGTTCTAGTTCAGTTCTAGTTCAGTTCTAGTTCAGTTCTAGTTCAGTTCTAGTTCAGTTCTAGTTCAGTTCTAGTTCAGTTCTAGTTCAGTTCTAGTTCAGTTCTAGTTCAGTTCTAGTTCAGTTCTAGTTCAGTTCTAGTTCAGTTCTAGTTCAGTTCTAGTTCAGTTCTAGTTCAGTTCTAGTTCAGTTCTAGTTCAGTTCTAGTTCAGTTCTAGTTCAGTTCTAGTTCAGTTCTAGTTCAGTTCTAGTTCAGTTCTAGTTCATCTAGTTCAGTTCTAGTTCAGTTCTAGTTCAGTTCTAGTTCAGTTCTAGTTCAGTTCTAGTTCAGTTCTAGTTCAGTTCTAGTTCAGTTCTAGTTCAGTTCTAGTTCAGTTCTAGTTCAGTTCTAGTTCAGTTCTAGTTCAGTTCTAGTCAGTTCTAGTTCAGTTTCTAGTTCAGTTCTAGTTCAGTTCTAGTTCAGTTCTAGTTCAGTTCTAGTTCAGTTCTAGTTCAGTTCTAGTTCAGTTCTAGTTCAGTTCTAGTTCAGTTCTAGTTCAGTTCCTAGTCATTCAGTTCAGTTCTAGTCTTCTAGTTCAGTTCAGTATTAGTTCTAATTCAGTTCTAGTTTAGTTCAGTTCAGTTCTAATTCAGTTCTAGTTCAGTTCTAATTCCGATAATTTTCTCATTTGTTACTAGAATTTTTGTTGTCCATCTAAGCGTATACTTTATAATTATTTTCAAAATTCTAATAAATATTCATCATACGTCACCATATATGATATATTCTTTATGTCCAACTCTAATCGATTATTTGCTGATTAGCAATTAATTATTTAGGCAACAACAACAAATTTACTTCAAAAACATAAACGTTAAACCCACGAAGACCTTTATCATGATAAACACACAAACATTTAAATGCCAATTGAAAATCCCATAAAAACCGATCAAAATATCCAATTCCCAAAACACACATAAATCGCTGATGTGAAATACATAGACTACACATAACCAGTTGGGGTCTAAATGTAATGAGCAAAAATGCAAATAACCCTAAATTTTTAAAAAATAAAATCTCTTAATAATAATTTATGATTACAACTGGACATATGTACATAAATGCAGAAAAATAAGTCGATTTGGGCTACAGTACATTTTTTGAAAGGCATAAACGCATGATGCGATTTGTTTTATAAAACTACAATAATTGACAGTTACCGTAACCAATCAAGTCAAGTCCCAGTCCGCAGGCCATAAGGGTCAGTAGCAGTAATTGAAATAAACAAATATTTCAATAAAATATTGCAAAACTATGTATGTGCGTATGTATGTATACATTTATGCAACCAAAAAGACTTTGGGCAATTTTTATACAATTTCTGTTAACATTTTTAAGCAAAAGTTGATATACAAAATGTTAGCGTGTGTCGGTTAGTTTACTTACACACTCGCACATAATTTTAAACAATATGGCCACAAAAAATAAACTGAGCGGAAACAATATGGCGAACTTAACATGGTCAATGTAATAAAAATGATTTATAGAGAAACGTATACGTTTATTAAATTACATAAAAGTGGTAAAAATGTTTTAACGAAAAAAAACTGAATGCTGGAAAAAGTAACTAATTTAGTTACAACAGAAAATAAAGGAAATAGTTTTGAATTTTGTTTTAGATTTTTTTAGAAAACTTTAAAATGATTATTATTAAATAACAAACTGAAAGTATTTTAAAATGCCAACATCCTTAAACATTTAAATACACAAATATTCTTAAAATTAAGTATTTTTTCTAAAAATCTATTTAAGCTCTAGATTAAGTATTTCTAAAACCATATTTATCTTAACAAACTCCTTTAAGTCTCTAACTTAATTCCCTTACTACAAAATAAATCAAGTATGAAAATATCCCACTCTACAGTAATCTAAGTTTATACACCTCCACTATAACTTACAATTAAACAAATCTCTATATAAATAAAGTTATAAAATATATATGTATATATAAATCAAACCCAAACAAAAAACTATATATAAACTTTAGTGCGGATGAGGGATTCGATGGCACGTATCACACCAACATTGTGGTCAAACATAACGGCAGTTGTCTGTACGTGCCCCCTGGTATCTTCAAGAGCACATGCAAGATAGACATCACGTGGTTCCCATTCGATGACCAACACTGCGAAATGAAATTCGGTAGTTGGACTTATGATGGAAATCAGGTAAAGTGTGTGTGTCTGTACTGTTTAAGTATAACGACAAAATATACTAAACAACTGAAAAACAACAACAACTAAAAAAGAACTTAAATCTCAACGAGAGCGAGAGAAAATAGAAAAAAAAACAACAACACACAATAACTACCAAACAAGACACATTAACATAAGAGCAAGAAAAAATATACCTTCACATTAATCACCTGAAAAAGGGAGAAAAGAGATACAATAAAAGGAGGAAACAGATGGGATAAAGCTCATTTCTAGTTCTGTTCTAGTTCTAGTTCTGTTCTAGTTCTGTTCTAGTTCTGTTCTAGTTCTGTTCTAGTTCTGTTCTAGTTCTGTTCTAGTTCTGTTCTAGTTCTGTTCTAGTTCTGTCCTAGTTCTGTCCTAGTTCTGTTCTAGTTCTGTTCTAGTTCTGCTCTAGTTATGTTCTAGTTCTGTTCTAGTTCTGTTGTAGTTCTGTTGTAGTTCTGTTCTAGTTCTGCTCTAGTTCTGCTCTAGTTCTGTTCTAGTTCTGCTCTAGTTCTGCTCTAGTTCTGTTCTAGTTCTGTTCTAGTTCTGTTCTAGTTCTGTTCTAGTTCTGTTCTAGTTCTGTTCTAGTTCTGTTCTAGTTCTGTTCTAGTTCTGTTCTAGTTCTGTTCTAGTTCTGTTCTAGTCTGTTCTAGTTCTGTCTAGTTCTGTTCTAGTTCTGTTCTAGTTCTGTTCTAGTTCTGTTCTAGTTCTGTTCTAGTTCTTTCTAGTTCTGTTCTAGTTCTGTTCTAGTTCTGTTCTAGTTCTGTTCTAGTTCTGTTCTAGTTCTGTTCTAGTTCTGTTCTAGTTCTGTTCTTAGTTCTGTTCTTCTAGTTCTGTTTCTAGTTCTGTTTAGTTCTGTTTAGTTCTGTTCTAGTTCTGTTCTAGTTCTGTTCTAGTTCTGTTCTAGTTCTAGTTCTGTTCTAGTTCTGTTCTAGTTCTGTTCTAGTTCTGTTCTAGTTCTGTTCTAGTTCTGTTCTAGTTCTGTTCTAGTTCTGTTCTAGTTCTGTTCTAGTTCTGTTCTAGTTCTGTTCTAGTTCTGTTCTAGTTCTGTTCTAGTTCTGTTCTAGTTCTGTTCTAGTTCTGTTCTAGTTCTGTTCTAGTTCTGTTCTAGTTCTGTTCTAGTTCTGCTAGTTCTGTCCTAGTTCTGTTCAAGTTCTGTTCTAGTTCTGTTCTAGTTTCGTTCTAGTTCTGTTCTAGTTCTGTTCAAGTTCTGTTCTAGTTCTATTCTAGTTCTGTTCTAGTTCTGTTGTAGTTCTGTTGTAGTTCTGTTGTAGTTCTGTTGTAGTTCTGTTGTAGTTCTGTTGTAGTTCTGTTCTAGTTCTGTTCTACTTCTGTTCTAGTTCTGTTCTAGTTCTGTTCTAGTTCTGTTCTAGTTCTGTTCTAGTTCTGTTCTAGTTCTGTTCTAGTTCTGTTCTAGTTCTGTTCTAGTTTTGTTCTAGTTCTGTTCTAGTTCTGTTCTAGTTCTGTTCTAGTTCTGTTCTAGTTCCGTTCTAGTTCCGTTCTAGTTCTGTTCTAGTTCAGTTGTAGTTCTGTTCTAGATCTGTTCTAGTTCTCTTCTAATTCTACTAATTCTCCTTTTAATTGTGTCTCTTTCATCTCAAGGGGAAAATTCATTCAACATTAACTTTTAACTCTTCACTTCTTTAAAAACCTCAAACTTTTTTTTACTTTTTATACTTAATTTATCTACAAACCACAGACTACTATTTTATGATTTCACTTCGATTTTTATGTTTTATATTTCAACATTGTTTTTTTCTAAAACTATGATTTATATTTTTTATTTTGCCTACAACCGAGAATAAAAGACTCTAAATAAAACAAATTAATAACAATTCACTGCGTTTTTGTGAATTGCAAAACCAGATTTATTTTTCAATTGAAATTTTAGACGAAGAGAAAAAAACACACTAAAAACAAATCACACTAAAATACGAAACTCTAAAACAAATACTTTTAGTGTTGAATGGTTTCTGAAAAAAATATAGTTTTAATTAATATTTTTTTCAAACAAATTCTATGCAACACTAAATAATATACAAATAACAATAACAAGAAAAAAAGAGATCCTACAAAATTAAATTTTCTAACAAAATAACACAAAATAAACCGAAAAATAAACAAAGAGGTCCTGATTGGAATCATGTGAGAAATGATTTTTTTCCTATTCGAATTGTATTGCAATAATTAACAGAAAAAATTTGATTTCAACTATTTTGCATGATGGCGAGCAAAACAAAAATTGAAACTGAAGCAAACAGCCACTATTGAAAATTTTGTTTACTAAACATAAAAAATAATAAAACTAAATAGTTTACAAAATTTTTAACGTTTGTAAAGACTCTTAATGAAATTACCACTAAACACTAACACTTTTAATACCTTGAGTACACTAAAAAGCATATTTTTTGTTCAGAAAGCAAAATATGCTTTTTGAACAAAACAACACTTTAAATGTTTATTTTATTTTATTAATTTATTTTTTATTTACATAATTATTTTAGTTGTTTTTATAAACATTTTTTATTTATATAGTAAAATAACAAAACATAAAACAACAAACAACTTCTTTTTTAATCTTAAAACTAACAAAAACATATTTTCTTCAATTTCTTTGGTAAAAAAAAAAACAACGAAAAAATCAACAAAATATTAAAAAAAAATATATTATTTAAAAAATGCTGGAAAATATGTTTTTGCCTGTGTTGATAAAATTTTCATTGAAACTCAATAAATGAAAATATCAAACACAGTTGGATTTGGTTTTGAATTCCGAAGATGGAGGGGATCTTTCCGATTTTATAACAAATGGCGAATGGTATTTAATCGGTTAGTAATTTATTACTTTCTTTTCCTAATTTCATAAAACCAATAACTGTCTTTTAACTGTTCCACTTACTTACTATCACTATTCTCTGTTCTATTACTAACTGTCTATGTCTATGTTGCTTTATTCAAATATACATTTTCTATGTGTTTTATATGTTAATTTTGACAAAAAATAACTATAACTATTTTAAAAATAATTAAAAAAAAAAAAACAATTTTAATTTCCTATTTAAATAAACTATTAAAATTAAATAAACTAAAAAAGAATTAAACTAATTTCTAAAGTTCGTGCAATCGAATATATATATCCTCAACGTGAGCTAAAATAAGTTAAAGGGAAGTTTCGCCTCAGTTCTAGTTCAGTTCTAGTTCAGTTTAGTTCAGTTCTAGTTCAGTTTGTTCAGTTCTAGTTCAGTTCTAGTTCAGTTCTAGTTCAGTTCTAGTTCAGTTCTAGTTCAGTTCTAGTTCAGTTCTAGTTCAGTTCTAGTTCAGTTGTCTAGTTCAGTTCAGTTCTAGTTCAGTTCTAGTTCAGTTCTAGTTCCAGTTCTAGTTCAGTAGTCTAGTCAGTTCTAGTTCAGTTCTAGTTCAGTTCTAGTTCAGTTTCTAGTTCAGTTCTAATTCAGTTCTAGTTCAGTTCTAGTTCAGTTCTAGTTCCGTTCTAGTCAGTTCTAGTTCAGTTCTAGTCAGTTCTAGTTCATTCTAGTTCAGTTCTAGTTCAGTTCTAGTTCAGTTCTAGTTCAGTTCTAGTTCAGTTCTAGTTCAGTTCTAGTTCAGTTCTAGTTCAGTTCTAGTTCAGTTCTAGGTTCAGTTCTAGTTCAGTTCTAGTTCAGTTCTAGTTCAGTTCTAGTTCAGTTCTAGTTCAGTTCTAGTTCAGTTCTTAGTTCAGTTCTAGTTCAGTTCTAGTTCAGTTCTAGTTCAGTTCTAGTCAGTTCTAGTTCAGTTCTAGTTCAAGGTCAGGTTCTAGTTCAGTTCTAGTTCAAAATGTATTACATTTTTATTGTAAATTTAGATTTTTGGTAAAAATTGCATTTTTATTACAAAATTTCATATTTTGGGTAAAATTTTATTTTAGTACAATATTAAATTAGTAGAGAATTGCATTTATAATACAAAGATTTATTTTTAATGCAAAAATGGAATTTTAGTACAAAATAGAATATTTAGTAAAAAAAAAATAATATTCAGTACAAAATTGATTCGACTGCGTTTTTAGTACAAAATTGGATTTTTAATGAAACATTAAAAATAAAATTCATTTTGAGTAAAAAGTTGAATTTTAAATTTTCAGTACAAAATTGAAATTTTTTGATGAAAACTATATTAGAAGTGGTATTTTTAGTACAAAAATTCCTTTTTAATAAGAATTTTGATGATTTAGTTTATTTTAAAAGTTCTAGGTTTAAAAAATGTGCTCACAATTTTTGTAATTAATTGTTGTTAGTTGAATATTTCATCCGATTATAATAAAATGTATGAGTATATTAAGGGGGTTCTTGAAAAATCGTTATTATGGGTTTTGCTTAATTTAGGTGTAGCTCAGAATTAAGTCAAAAATCATGTGGAGGATATATCAACTAAATCCAAAAATCTTTAACTTAAATCCTAAAACTAAATTAAAAAACATAAAACAACAGACCGGTAGTTAAATTTATTATTAAAAACTATCTTAAAACTGCACCACATTTAACTACCAGCCTGTTATATTAATAGCTCCTATTCTAAAACAACATTTTAAACTGTTTTTTGGCCAGTGGACCAAACAGTTAATTTGCATAATTAATTCATCATTGTTTATAAATATTACGGTGGATCAATTAATATCTTCTTTAAATGATAAAAAAATATATATACAAGCTTTTTCATTTAAATTATTTAAGTTATCATCACAAAATTCTTTAAATTTGTTTTTAATTATAAAGTCCAAATTATTTCAGATTTTTTATAATTTAATTGATTTATTTGATAATAGATAATATGTTTTAATTTTACCTCATGACATCATTAATGACAAACTCAGGTATGTTTTAGTTTTCTTTTTCACTAGAAATTCATCATTGTCAAAATTTCATAATTTTAATTTGTAATTTGTGTAAAATTATTCCAGCAAATATATTTATTTTAAATGATTTATTGCATGTTTTGTATGTATGTAGTTGTAGTTAATTGTACAAATTTTGTATGATTGATTGTCTGTTATGTAATTTAAACTAAAGATTTAGTGACAATTGCCCGACTTGAGACCATTGACGGTGAGAAATTCTGAGAAACTTAAATCGTATCAAGAATCACTTATGACTGAACTTTAAAGTTATTAAATAAACTCAAAAACTTGACGTTACATAAAAGTTCCCATAAACCTTTATATATTAAATACCAAAACCTTTCCGATATCTGAAGTTGTAAGAGTGAGTGCTTTAACTTAAACGATCTCAACATGTCTTAGCTTCAGTCGTGATCGGTGTTTCTTGCATGTTACTAACCTATCCAATGCATTAAAAGATAATAGCGTATTGGGATAAGACCTTATACTGAAATTCTCAGTAACAACATGGATAAATAATTACCTGTTGTCAAAATGTGATAGTCCATATTTAAACAAAAAAATTTATTATATAAATACTTAATAGATATTTGAAGATATCACTGTAAAAGGAGAAAGAGAACACAAATATTTTGCATTTAGTATTTCCTTTCTAATTCTGTTCTAGTTCTGTTCTAGTTCTAGTTCTGTTCTGTTCTAGTTCTGTTCTAGTTCTGTTCTAGTTCTGTTCTAGTTCTGTTCTAGTTCTGTTCTAGTTCTGTTTTAGTTCTGTTTTAGTTCTGTTCTAGTTCTGTCTAGTTCTGTTCTAGTTCTGTTTCTAGTTCTGTTCTAGTTCTGTTCTAGTTCTGTTCTAGTTCTGTTCTAGTTCTGTTCTAGTTCTGTTCTAGTTCTGTTCTAGTTCTGTTCTAGTTCTGTTTGTTCTGTTCTAGTTCTGTTCTAGTTCTGTTCTAGTTCTGTTCTAGTTCTGTTCTAGTTCTGTTCTAGTTCAGTTTCTAGTTCTGTTCTAGTTCGTTCTAGTTCTGTTCTAGTTCTGTTCTAGTTCTGTTCTAGTTCAGTTCTAGTTCAGTTCTAGTTCAGTTCTAGTTCAGTTCTAGTTCTGTTCTAGTTCTGTTCTAGTTCTGTTCTAGTTCTGTTCTAGTTCTGTTCTAGTTCTGTTCTAGTTCTGTTCTAGTTCTATTCTAGTTCTGTTCTAGTTCTGTTCTAGTTCTGTTCCAGTTCTGTTCTAGTTCTGTTCTAGTTCTGTTCTAGTTCTGTTCTAGTTCTGTTCTAGTTCTGTTCTAGTTCAGTTCTAGTTCAGTTCTAGTTCAGTTCTAGTTCAGTTCTAGTTCAGTTCTAGTTCTTTCTAGTTCAGTTCTAGTTCAGTTCTAGTTCAGTTCTAGTTCTGTTCTAGTTCTGTTCTAGTTCTGTTCTAGTTCTGTTCTAGTTCTGTTCTAGTTCTGTTCTAGTTCTGTTCTAGTTCTGTTCTAGTTCTGTTCTAGTTCTGTTCTAGTTCTGTTCTAGTTCTGTTCTAGTTCTGTTCTAGTTCTGTTCTAGTTCTGTTCTAGTTCTGTTCTAGTTCTGTTCTAGTTCTGTTCTAGTTCAGTTCTAGTTCAGTTCTAGTTCTGTTCTAGTTCTTCTAGTTCTGTTCTAGTTCTGTTCTAGTTCTGTTCTAGTTCTGTTCTGTTTCTGTTCTAGTTCTGTTCTAGTTCTGTTCTAGTTCTGTTCTAGTTCTGTTCTAGTTCTGTTCTAGTTCTGTTCTAGTTCTGTTCTAGTTCTGTTCTAGTTCTGTTCTAGTTCTGTTCTAGTTCTGTTCTAGTTCTGTTCTAGTTCTGTTCTAGTTCTGTTCTAGTTCTGTTCTGTTCTAGTTCAGTTCTAGTTCAGTTCTAGTTCTGTTCTAGTTCGTTCTAGTTCAGTTCTAGTTCTGTTCTAGTTCTGTTCTAGTTCTGTTCTAGTTCTGTTCTAGTTCTGTTCTAGTTCTGTTCTAGTTCTGTTCTAGTTCAGTTCTAGTTCTGTTCTAGTTCTGTTCTAGTTCTGTTCTAGTTCTGTTCTAGTTCTGTTCTAGTTCAGTTCTAGTTCAGTTCTAGTTCTGTTCTAGTTCAGTTCTAGTTCTGTTCTAGTTCTGTTCTAGTTCAGTTTCTAGTTCAGTTCTAGTTCGTTCTAGTTCAGTTCTAGTTCTGTTCTAGTTCTGTTCTAGTTCTGTTCTGTTCTAGTTCTGTTCTAGTTCTGTTCTAGTTCTGTTCTAGTTCTGTTCTAGTTCTGTTCTAGTTCGTTCTAGTTCTGTTCTAGTTCTGTTCTGTTCTGTTCTAGTTCTAGTTCTGTTCTAGTTCTGTTCTAGTTCTGTTCTAGTTTGTTCTAGTTCTGTTCTAGTTCTGTTCTAGTTCAGTTCTAGTTCTGTTCTAGTTCTGTTCTAGTTCTGTTCTAGTTCTGTTCTAGTTCTGTTCTAGTTCAGTTCTAGTTAGTTCTAGTTCTGTTCTAGTTCTTCTAGTTCTGTTCTATTCTGTTTCTCTGTTCTGTTCTATTCTGTTCTAGTTCTGTTCTAGTTCTGTTCTAGTTCTGTTCTAGTTCTGTTCTAGTTCTGTTCTAGTTCTGTTCTAGTTCTGTTCTAGTTCTGTTCTAGTTCTGTTCTAGTTCTGTTCTAGTTCTGTTCTGTTCTGTTCTAGTTCTTCTAGTTTCAGTTCTAGTTCTGTTCTAGTTCAGTTCTAGTTCAGTTCTAGTTCAGTTCTAGTTCTGTTCTAGTTCTGTTCTAGTTCTGTTCTAGTTCTGTTCTAGTTCTTGTTCTAGTTCTGTTCTAGTTCTGTTCTAGTTCTGTTCTAGTTCTGTTCTAGTTATGTTCTAGTTCTTCTAGTTCTGTTCTAGTTCTGTTCTAGTTCTGTTCTAGTTCTGTTCTAGTTCAGTTCTAGTTCTTTCTAGTTCAGTTCTAGTTCTTTAGTTCAGTTCTAGTTCAGTTCTAGTTCAGTTCTAGTTCAGTTCTAGTTCGTTCTAGTTCTGTTCTAGTTCTGTTCTAGTTCTGTTCTAGTTCTGTTCTAGTTCAGTTCTAGTTCAGTTCTAGTTCTGTTCTAGTTCTGTTCTAGTTCTGTTCTAGTTCTGTTCTAGTTCTGTTCTAGTTCTGTTCTAGTTCTGTTCTAGTTCTGTTCTAGTTCTGTTCTAGTTCTGTTCTAGTTCTGTTCTAGTTCTGTTCTAGTTCTGTTCTAGTTCTGTTCTAGTTCTGTTCTAGTTCAGTTCTAGTTCAGTTCTAGTTCAGTTCTAGTTCGTTCTAGTTCTGTTCTAGTTCTGTTCTAGTTCTGTTCTAGTTCTGTTCTAGTTCTGTTCTAGTTCTGTTCTAGTTCTGTTCTAGTTCTGTTCTAGTTCTGTTCTAGTTCTGTTCTAGTTCTGTTCTAGTTCTGTTCTAGTTCTGTTTCTAGTTCAGTTCTAGTTCAGTTCTAGTTCAGTTCTAGTTCAGTTCTAGTTCTGTTCTAGTTCTGTTCTAGTTCTGTTCTAGTTCTGTTCTAGTTCTGTTCTAGTTCTGTTCTAGTTCTGTTCTAGTTCTGTTCTAGTTCTGTTCTAGTTCTGTTCTAGTTCAGTTCTAAGTTCGTTCTAGTTCTGTTCTAGTTCTGTTCTAGTTCTGTTCTAGTTCTGTTCTAGTTCTGTTCTAGTTCTGTTCTAGTTCTGTTCTAGTTCTGTTCTAGTTCTGTTCTAGTTCTGTTCTAGTTCTGTTCTAGTTCTGTTCTAGTTCTGTTCTAGTTCTGTTCTAGTTCTGTTCTAGTTCTGTTCTAGTTCAGTTCTAGTTCAGTTCTAGTTCAGTTCTAGTTCTGTTCTAGTTCTGTTCTAGTTCTGTTCTAGTTCTGTTCTAGTTCTGTTCTAGTTCAGTTCTAGTTCTGTTCTAGTTCTGTTCTAGTTCTGTTCTAGTTCTGTTCTTGTTCTGTTCTAGTTCTGTTCTAGTTCTGTTCTAGTTCTGTTCTAGTTCTGTTCTAGTTCAGTTCTAGTTCTGTTCTAGTTCTGTCTAGTTCTGTTCTAGTTCTGTTCTAGTTCTGTTCTAGTTCTGTTCTAGTTCTGTTCTAGTTCTGTTCTAGTTCTGTTCTAGTTCTGTTCTAGTTCTGTTCTAGTTCTGTTCTAGTTGTTCTAGTTCAGTTCTTGTTCAGTTCTAGTTCAGTTCTAGTTCAATTCAAGTTCAGTTCTAGTTCAGTTCTAGACCAGTTCTTGTTTCATTCTCGATCATATTCTCACAATTTTAATAATAGTTAAAATAAACATTTAAGTAAATAAACAAAATAAATCCATTCAACTTTAACAATTATACATTTTTTAATCAAGATAATAATAAATATATAATAAAAGAGCAAGCATTTAAGTCTTAACTGGCTGATATTAAAAGACCAAAAATAAAATTAAATTATGAAAAAAAAAAATTTAAACCAATTGTTGAACTACAATTGTTCTATAAGCTTCAGCTATAAATTCCTTTTACAATGACCATGTTTATGTGTTTTTTGTAATTTTTATTTATTTATTTTTTTTTCTGTATTTGCATCAACATTCGTTTTTTAATACTTTAGGCTTTATTATATGTATGTAGTTTGTAAATATTTAATAATTTTTTACAATCAATTAAATGTTTGACAACAATCTTGATGTATAGGAATTGTATGTGCTAGTGTTTGTAATTATTTTTTATTTATATGTAATAAAAGCAAAAAAAAAATTCAGCTTTTTTATAATGTATGTATATATTTTAACCATAAATGTGTACAAACAAAAAAATATTTAATACAGTTTTTTAAACTTAATTTACTAATTAATTTTATTGCCATAAAAAAACTTCATTTCCGCTTTAAACAATAACAATCCCACCAAATTGCAACATTCTTCTATCTGTCTGAATTGCAACAATTAAATCTGCCATTAACCTCAAAACAACTGGTATGTTGGATGGTCGGTCATTTGGTTGGTTTAAACAGCGATGCCTGGCAAAAGAATACCATCGTCTATGCCTGCTGTCCGGAGCCATATGTGGATGTTACATTTACAATACAGATAAAGGCGAACATTATATTATTTTTTTAACTTAATTGTACCATGTGTGCTGATATCATCGATGGCTTTATTAGGATTTACCTTGCCACCCGATTCGGGTGAAAAACTTACTTTAGGTATGTATTAAACCTTTAAAAACATAATTTTTTTAATTTTTCATTTATTTTAATATTTAATGAACATTTTTCAATATCTGTTTTTTATTGAATTATTTATTTTGAGTTTTATTAATATTAAGTGTTTATTTAATTGAAACATTTTATTGCAGCTTATATAAGTATAATTAAAGAAAAACAATGAAATGATTAATTGGTTAAGACCTTCGTAAATTTTACCAAAACGTCGTAAAAGTTAGAAATTCTTTTATAAAAATTATACCAGCTTATCTAGCGGTAGCGAAATGAGGAAATGCTGGATTGAGTATTTAAACTAAATAATAAGAAATTTATCTAAAACTTAAAAAAAAACTTAAGTTTAAAGTTAAAAACTGTTACCTCAAACTAATCCGAAATAACTGCATGTTTTATAGCTTTATTTGTTTTAAATTAAATCCAAAAATATATTTTAAAGGTCGGGATTAACAAAGCTATTGAATAGCTAAACGACGAATTATGTTCTAATTCTTTACCGGTTCTGTTCTAGTTCTGTTCTAGTTCTGTTCTAGTTCTGTTCTAGTTCTGTTCTAGTTCTGTTCTAGTTCTGTTCTAGTTCTGTTCTAGTTCTGTTCTAGTTCTGTTCTAGTTCTGTTCTAGTTCTGTTCTAGTTCTGTTCTAGTTCTGTTCTAGTTTCTGTTCTGTTCTGTTCTAGTTCTGTTCTAGTTCTGTTCTAGTTCTGTTCTAGTTCTGTTCTAGTTCTGTTCTAGTTCTGTTCTAGTTCTGTTCTAGTTCTGTTCTAGTTCTGTTCTAGTTCTGTTCTAGTTCTGTTCTAGTTCTGTTCTGTTCTGTTCTAGTTCTGTTCTAGTTCTGTTCTAGTTCTGTTCTAGTTCTGTTCTAGTTCTGTTCTAGTTCTGTTCTAGTTCTGTTCTAGTTCTGTTCTAGTTCTGTTCTAGTTCTGTTCTAGTTCTGTTCTAGTTCTGTTCTAGTTCTGTTCTAGTTCTGTTCTAGTTCTGTTCTAGTTCTGTTCTAGTTCTGTTCTAGTTCTGTTCTAGTTCTGTTCTAGTTCTGTTCTAGTTCTGTTCTAGTTCTGTTCTAGTTCTGTTCTAGTTCTGTTCTAGTTCTGTTCTAGTTCTGTTCTAGTTCTGTTTCTAGTTCTGTTCTAGTTCTGTTCTAGTTCTGTTCTAGTTCTGTTCTAGTTCTGTTCTAGTTCTGTTCTAGTTCTGTTCTAGTTCTGTTCTAGTTCTGTTCTAGTTCTGTTCTAGTTCTGTTCTAGTTCTGTTCTAGTTCTGTTCTAGTTCTGTTCTAGTTCTGTTCTAGTTCTGTTCTAGTTCTGTTCTAGTTCTGTTCTAGTTCTGTTCTAGTTCTGTTCTAGTTCTGTTCTAGTTTCTGTTCTAGTTCTGTTCTGTTCTAGTTCTGTTCTAGTTCTGTTCTAGTTCTGTTCTAGTTCTGTTCTAGTTCTGTTCTAGTTCTGTTCTAGTTCTGTTCTAGTTCTGTTCTAGTTTGTTCTAGTTCTGTTCTAGTTCTGTTCTAGTTCTGTTCTAGTTCTGTTCTAGTTCTGTTCTAGTTCTGTTCTAGTTCTGTTCTAGTTCTGTTCTAGTTCTGTTCTAGTTCTGTTCTAGTTCTGTTCTAGTTCTGTTCTAGTTCTGTTCTAGTTCTAGTTCTGTTCTAGTTCTGTTCTAGTTCTGTTCTAGTTCTGTTCTAGTTCTGTTCTAGTTCTGTTCTAGTTCTGTTCTAGTTCTGTTCTAGTTCTGTTCTAGTTCTGTTCTAGTTCTGTTCTAGTTCTGTTCTAGTTCTGTTCTAGTTCTGTTCTAGTTCTGTTCTAGTTCTGTTCTAGTTCTGTTCTAGTTCTGTTCTAGTTCTGTTCTAGTTCTGTTCTAGTTCTGTTCTAGTTCTGTTCTAGTTCTGTTCTAGTTCTGTTCTAGTTCTGTTCTAGTTCTGTTCTAGTTCTGTTCTAGTTCTGTTCTAGTTCTGTTCTAGTTCTGTTCTAGTTCTGTTCTAGTTCTGTTCTAGTTCTGTTCTAGTTCTGTTCTAGTTCTGTTCTAGTTCTGTTCTAGTTCTGTTCTAGTTCTGTTCTAGTTCTGTTCTAGTTCTGTTCTAGTTCTGTTCTAGTTCTGTTCTAGTTCTGTTCTAGTTCTGTTCTAGTTCTGTTCTAGTTCTGTTCTAGTTCTGTTCTAGTTCTGTTCTAGTTCTGTTCTAGTTCTGTTCTAGTTCTGTTCTAGTCTTTCTAGTTCTGTTCTAGTTCTGTTCTTTCTGTTCTAGTTGTTCTAGTTCTGTTCTAGTTCTGCTAGTTCTGTTCTAGTTCTGTTCTAGTTCTGTTCTAGTTCTGTTCTAGTTCTGTTCTAGTTCTGTTCTAGTTCTGTTCTAGTTCTGTTCTAGTTCTGTTCTAGTTCTGTTCTAGTTCTGATCTAGTTCTGTTCTAGTTCTGTTCTAGTTCTGTTCTAGTTCTGTTCTAGTTCTGCTGTCTTCAGATCCTCTGACTTTTAAAATATATACATTATTTGTAAAACAATAAATACAGCTAAATAAAATGTATTAAAATAATCTTAAAATCTTTCTAAATGGTTCGTACAAAATTCCTACTCAACTTTTAAAGTAAAAAAAAAAAAAATAAATAAATAAATAACCTAGTTTTAAATAAAAACAAAAGTAATTATGATAAAATATTTTTTTAATTTTTATTTTCAAAAAATAACGTTCCTTTTCTTTCTTTGTGTTGTTATTGCTGTGTTGTGTTTTGATAAAATCTTTTTTTATGAATATTTCAGGCGTACTATACTACTCTCACTAACAGTTTTTCTAAATCTTGTTGCTGAATCCATGCCGACAACGTCGGATGCTGTTCCTCTTATAGGTACACACAAATCACAAATAGTAAATTTATTTACAAGAAAAATTTACAATTTTAATTTTTTAGTTTATATTTTCTTTCCACTTCAAGAAAAAAATAAACATATTTTTGGTTTGTAGTGTTTTTGGAAAATACAAGAGATTTTTAAAAATATTATTTTCGAATCATGTAAAAATGCAGTTCTTCTTACAATTAAAATTATGAAAATTTTAAACGCCGTTTATGCTAGATTTTATCACTTTAGAATAATGGAATGCCTATGCGTTGGATTATAAATTCATAGTTTTAATTACAAGGAAATGTTACAGAGTTGTTAAAAAGATAACAATTTTACGATTTGGCACATAATTCTCCAAAATGCAATCTATTAGCTTTGAATTTTGCACAAAGGGAATAATTTTCTAAGGATTATATCTTGCAAACCTTTACAAATTTTGATATACTCTCTGAGGCAAAGTCGTAGCTCTTGATGTAACCTAAGATCAAAATCAAAAAAAACTTTAATAAATAAATTTTTTACATGTTAAAAAAATATTTAGTGTTTCTCTAAATTAGGCGCTATACTTAATATTTGTAATATCAATAAATCATTAACACGTATACATACAGGTGTCGTTAATAAATACCCAGCAAAAAATAATTGATGTCATACTTTACAAACTACATCTTAATCACATCTTAAAATGCGATTACATATTTTTCACTTTATAAACCAAATATTTCCTTACAAATGAAACCCCAGTTAAAAGTGAGGAAAGAGATGTGGAAAAGTCATTACAAATAACATATTTGAAGTACATCAAGATTTGGTGAAAGAGTAGTGAAATTTACATAAGCGTGTCATTAAGAGAATGTGTTTAATTTTTGACATCCAAATATCGGATTTTTACTGCTTCTAAAAATAGATCAGATGTAGTTCAAAGCTGCCAAAAATGAACAACATCCCTCCAATGACACGCTAATGTAAAATTCATAGGTTTTACACCCGAATTTGAAGCACTTCGGGTACTAGTTGTGATGAAAATTCTACATCTTTTTCCACACTTTTTTTGCTGGGTAGGGTGCAAATTCACAATGTAAATTTTCCACTTGAAATGAAAAATTAACATGAAGCTTATTCAATTTATGTGTTCACGATTTTTTCTAGTTCAGTTCTAGTTCAGTTCTAGTTCAGTCTAGTTCAGTTCTAGTTCAGTTCTAGTCAGTTAGTTCGTTCTAGTTCAGTTTCTAGTTCAGTTCTAGTTCAGTTCTAGTCATTCTAGTCGTATCTAGTTCAGTTCTAGTTCAGTTCTAGTTCAGTTCTAGTTCAGTTCTAGTTCAGTCTAGTTCAGTTCTAGTTCAGTTCTAGGTTCAGTTCTAGTTCAGTTCTAGTTCAGTTCTAGTTCAGTTCTAGTTCAGTTCTAGTTCAGTTCTAGTTCAGTTCTAGTTCAGTTCTAGTTCAGTTCTAGTTCAGTTCTAGTTCAGTTCTAGTTCAGTTCTAGTTCAGTTCTAGTTCAGTTCTAGTTCAGTTCTAGTTCAGTTTCTAGTTCAGTTCTAGTTCAGTTCTAGTTCAGTTCTAGTTCAGTTCTAGTTCAGTTCTAGTTCAGTTCTAGTTCAGTTCTAGTTCAGTTCTAGTTCAGTTCTAGTTCAGTTCTAGTTCAGTTCTAGTTCAGTTCTAGTTCAGTTGTTCTAGTTCAGTTCTAGTTCAGTTCTAGTTCAGTTCTAGTTCAGTTCTAGTTCAGTTCTAGTTCAGTTCTAGTTCAGTTCTAGTTCAGTTCTAGTTCAGTTCTAGTTCAGTTCTAGTTCAGTTCTAGTTCAGTTCTAGTTCAGTTCTAGTTCAGTTCTAGTTCAGTTCTAGTTCAGTTTCTAGTTCAGTTCTAGTTCAGTTCTAGTTCAGTTCTAGTTCAGTTCTCTTTCAGTTCTAGTTCAGTTCTAGTTCAGTTCTAGTTCAGTTCTAGTTCAGTTCTAGTTCAGTTCTAGTTCAGTTCTAGTTCAGTTCTAGTTCAGTTCTAGTTCAGTTCTAGTTCAGTTCTAGTTCAGTTCTAGTTCAGTTCTAGTTCAGTTCTAGTTCAGTTCTAGTTCAGTTCTAGTTCAGTTCTAGTTCAGTTCTAGTTCAGTTCTAGTTCAGTTCTAGTTCAGTTCTAGTTCAGTTCTAGTTCAGTTCTAGTTCAGTTCTAGTTCAGTTCTAGTTCAGTTCTAGTTCAGTTCTAGTTCATTTCTAGTTTTAGTTCTAGTTCTGGATCACATTACTTTATGTGGTAAAAATTTTATTTTGAAAGATTGAAACTTTTATTGGCTTCTACAACTTTGTAACATTTCACAGAATCTTACATTTACAACAAAGCAAAAAAATCATAAACGTTCATTTAAGGTCTTTTAATAGAGTATAGAATTGTTCACAGTTTTTTTAAACATTTTGAATTTTGTAGATTTTAAAAATTTTCTTTCCACCAATTTTATTATTTATTGGTATTTTCCAAAACTGAAAGCAAAATTTTTCATTGAATTAAATTCAACAAACCAAA